ATATATATATATATAGAGATATATATACTGGAAACACAATTGTAAGGTAATGCAAGTTATTGTGACCATGGTGTAAGCTTGTCAGTTGGAGATTACACCACAGTCATTATAACTTGCATTGCCTTAAAATTGTTTGTCCAGTATAAGTCTCTATTGTAGCTAGCTTTCAAGCCATGATGAAGAAGGGGCCGTTTGAGTAAGAGAAATAGTACTAGGTCCCTTATTTATGGTTATCTCTAAACTGATGACCTGTTAAGGCATTTAAAGCATTGCATATTGATACTTTTTGGTGTTGTAATTTTATAACGTTAAGTGGGAACACACACTTTTGAGGCTTGACATATTTGGTATCTCTATACTCAACACGTCTCCTTTTATCGTGTACAAAATAACACTCATTTTAGTGTGTTTTTTCTGAAAATTATAGATTAAATAAATAGTTGTGCAAATATTGCCCAACATGGAATATTGAAACCGGGAGAACGGTACTTGCCTGACTGCATTGTGCCTAGTGTAAAGTTTGGTGGAGGGGGATTATGGTGTGGGGTTGTTTTTCAAGGGTTGGGCTTGGCCCTTAGTTTCAGTGAACGGAACTGTTAAGGCATCAGCATACCAAGACATTTTGGACAATTTCAGGCTCCCAACATTGTGGGAACAGTTTGGTGATGGCCCTTTCCTGTTCCAACATGACTGCTCACCAGTGCACAAAGCAAGGTCCATAAAGACATGGATGAGCAATTTTGGGGTAGAGAAACTTGACTGGCCTGCACAGAGTCCTGACTTCAACCTGATAGAACACCTTTGGGATGAATTAGAGCGGAGACTGCGAGCCAGGCCTTCTCATCCAATATCAGTACCTGACCTCACAAATGCATTTTTGGAAGAATGATCAAACATTCACATAGACCCACTCCTAAACCTTGTGGACACCTTCCCAGAAGAATTGAAGCTGTTATAGCTGCAAAGGGTGGGCCAACTCAATAATGGACCCTGCGGACTAAGCCTGAGATGCCATGAAAGTTCATGTGCATGTAAAGGCAGGTGCCCCAATACTTTTGGCAATATAGTGTATATATTTGTATAAGGTAGTGACAAAGAAGGTGGCAGAGATAATGATCTATTAGGAAATAACTGAGTAATAAACAGGTGATGTATATAATTCTGTCAAGGTGTCAAAGAACTACTAATGTTCCTATTCTCAATTCTGCTAGGACCATAAAGCTAAAAAGAACTGTCACACAATTTAATTTTGAGATCTTAACAGCCTCTTTAATGCAATTTGCGTCACTGTAGGTTTCTCTCCCCTGTGAAATAAAATCCAGACATACATTTTGTAATGCCTTGAAAGTATAATGTTGAAATGGCTTGTCAGCTTTATTTACCAGGTTCTATCTGCAACAATAATATCTATTTTGTTTCAGGAAGGATTTGTAGAAAACAGAAAGCTATGGTTATTACTGAAGAAATTGTTCAACTACCACTCAAACAGCCAGTATAGACATCTTGAAAGGAGTTTAAAAAATGATCCAAAATGGCCCCCCATAAATGAAACTATCTTCTCTAAACAAGTGGAGTGTGAAACAGATGTACAAAACCATGCTTATAAAAATCCCGTCTTCGATGAAGCAACAGAGATAAAAACAGTTTGCAATAGCAATGGAGACTTATAAGTGTAAGCACTGGCAAAGACAAAACCCAAATAGTAAAACATTTATATTTTTTCACAGGTGTATTTAAAATAAAAAAACAATAAAGCAACAATTCAGATCTCCAGTCAGTTGCCAGTGAATGATCAATAGAAACAGTGACAAATTAAGCACAGTTTCCTGGAATGGAATATCTTCTCTATATTAAGAGCAATGATATAGGTGCAGGGCCATTACTATGATCCTAAAAGACCTGGGACACTTCTGGTCACCTCTGTAACTGCGCGGTTGGTAAATGGCAGGTATGAGTGTGTCCATTCAAGGTATTTTGTATTAGGAATTTTTAGGAATCACTCTGCAAGTATTTTTCATACATATACATTCACAACCAATTAATTTTATTTAGTAATTTAAAAAACACCTCTCAGACCTCTACAATGACCTTTTCCCAACACGATGTGAACAAAGCATTTAATATGGTACATAGAATTACTAGAGCTGCGGCAGCACAGGTAGAGGCTTGTAAACTATTAACATGTTGATAAAAGAGTCCACTAACTCTCTACAGTAACTTTTTATCTACCGTCCCCAATTGTTGGTGCTGTTCAGCTGTGGAAGGTTCTTTGTTGCAGATTTGGTGGCATTGTTCTCGTATCAAGCCCTTTTGTGACTCGATGGGGGTGATTTACTAACCTAAACACACGCACGCACCAGGTGCGTGTGCATTTTTACACAGCAAAACTTATTTATCAACCAAACACGAGCAACGTGTCACATTTTAACGCCGTTGTGGCATATTTCCACTAATGCCATATATGGAAAAATCATGCACATGATGCATACATAATGCTGCTTCACAGTTTAGATAAAAATGGTTAGCTCATGCATTTACATTCCTGCATTCATCAACGCAAGCAACACAACGTACAGCTAATTTACACAAAATCACCTTGCAATTCATGCAGGGCTTTGCACAACACACCTGCTGGGTGTGTACACACTACAAAGGTGTCTAGATTCCACCAATAGATCATGCTGGGAGGGAACACACTACAGAGGTGTATACTTGTTCGTGGTGTGTTTATAAGGTTAGTAAATCAACCCCTATATTTGATATCTATCAATTAGTCATGGGATCCTCAGCACCTAGGTCTCCGCAAGTTGCCCTATTATCCATTTTGCTTGGATCTCAGTCAGCTATGACTAAAGATCCTCTTCGCTTCTCAAGAGTGGTGATTGCTCGTAATTGGAGGACTCCCTCTGTCTCACATATTTGGGAGTGAATAAGGGAGATGTGTAACTTTATGAGAATGAAAGACCTAACAACTCCTCAGCACCTAGGTCTCCGCAAGTTGCCCTATTATCCATTTTGCTTGGATCTCAGTCAGCTATGACTAAAGATCCTCTTCGCTTCTCAAGAGTGGTGATTCCTCGTTATTGGAGGACTCCCTCTGTCTCGCATATTTGGGAGTGAGTAAGGGAGATGTGTAACTTTATGAGAATGAAAGACCTAACAACCTAATGCACTATGGTGCCCTTGGATCCAGCCTTCATGATCAATGTTCCTTCTTGATTATATACTGCTTTCCCTTGACCTGGAGTCAAGCTGTGGATAATAGCATGATTGGAGGCTGGGTCCTTGGGTGACTTTTGTGACCTCTAAAACTTGCTTGTTCAACAATCATATTTCTGGGGTGTGTTTGCACCTATCTTCTTCT